TGGGGAGCGGAAAAGTTACCTTGTCCGCTGGCGTGGGTACCAACCATCGTATGAAAGCTGGGAATTCGATCCCAGCTAATGTCTGGCGTTGAAGGTCTCGTCCGCCAGTATGACGAGACTCATCCGATTGGTCCGAGGGTTCATCGGTAAACACGCGCTTTTGGCGCTTGTAGACGGATTGCAAGTTTGCAACCGCGTCCCGCATCACAGCCGAGATGTGTGCCCTTCCCCAGGGCGAACTTAGGGATTACACGTCCCTATGTGCACGTTGCGAGTTGTCAACACAACTCTCACAAGGGTCTCCCCATGTGAGGCAAGGAATGTCTGCCTCAATCGACAAACGATGCAGCCGGTACCTTGCACCGGTTGGCGTTCGCTTTTTAAACTCGATGCGTACCGCTTCAAGTTTATGAAGCCATCCTTCTCGTCCAACACTCTTGTCATTTTGGACGAACGCGATCCACGCCGCCAAAAGCGAGGCCTTGTCACGCTTTTAGTTGCCATTGTACCATCGATGCTTGAGGAACGCATCGAGATAAAAGTCTTCTTCAGCTCGAAAGTTACTGGCGCTGGGATCCAAGCCGTGAAGCTCACTCGCATCGAATAAAGGTATTCGATGGTGTTGACTTATCTCGCGAGACAAGTTATTGATGAGCTGTTCAGGCAAACGCCACGGCTTCAGCTCATCACGCTTCGAAGTGGTACCTCTGCCGGTACCACGGTTGTCAGTATGACGACGGCTCGCACCATCGTCGAACCGCTCGTGCGAAGACACACGAGTTGATCGCGGTGATGAGCAATCATACTCATCACCGTATTCATCACCACTGCCGAACAGACTGTGACGCATGTCGCGATTCCGTACGTCCGGCAGTGTCGTGGATGAATGAGGCACCGCAGGTGAACGCGATGCCTCTAAAGGCTTTTCCGAGTCAGACACATCTGACTCGCCAGAGTAGCTGACCCCTAACTCGGGGTCACTGTGTGCATGTGGAATGATACCACATGTGCCTGCAGCAACACCTGCTGCAGGCATAGAACGAGCAGCAGACGACGAGTCGTCTGCCGCAAAGGAGGGCGCAGCAACAGGCTGTGTCGTCTTTGAGTCACCCCTCATAGACATGTTAACTATGCGAGGCAAAATCAGAATGAATGGGTTGACTTACAAGTGCTCCCCGTCCCGTTGGTATCCAACGGGTGGCCACAAAGTTTCGATTGTCACACGGTGACTATTAGTTAAGGGAGGGGTGATGAAACGGGGTAGCCCGTCACATGATATTGTCATTAAGGCTAAAATGACAATAAATAATATTACGATGAATATTCTTTCAACAATATCACATAGCATGATGATATTGTTGAAGATGGCCAAAGGGTCTACTCATTGGTTGATATCGCGATGATATCAACCCACCAATCGCTGCTAGACGCGCGCAATGGGTGGTGAGTAGACGTCACCATACATTTAGTTACACTACTATAATTAAGTCAGGACAAACAGAGATACAAGAGTTATAGGCCTTAATTATATTAACTACAGTTTTACTTTTTCTACGACTACAGTATTTCACCTTAGTCGTTCTACCTTCCTCTGTGTAATTCTACACCTAGCTGGGCACTGACTATCACAACAGTCAGTGATAGTAAACTCCGTACTGGTTGACCAGTACGTAGTTGTCGGTGCCTCGTTTCACACGTACCTCCCGGTCCCAGTGCCAGTGCTTACCCACTCGTTCATCGGGGTTGGTTGCGTCAAAAGAATATGAGCCAGTGGTACATTGACATATCGTATTCTAGGTCCCCTATCATGGTCCAAACGTGCTTGACATGCTCCGTTATTCAAAATGGGAACACTAGACCGTTCACCAGCCGGGGTAGCAGGTCGCATTGGCCACCTTAGAAAAAGACAAGTTTCTGCGTTGGGTTTAGTACAGGTTCGGCCACAGTCGCCGATAATTGTCTTATAAATAGATCTTTTACACGCATAGCTTACGCTTTAATGGTCTGATCGCCTAACTTGTCGATTAAGGGGGTGTCCAAGATGCGTCTGATCTATTCTTCTTGTAACTGAAGAAAATTGGTGTGTAACGACTCTGTAGTTTACATATGCAAACAGCTACACTTCGTACCAATGTATATCGATGTCTTTGCTTTGATTCGAGCTGTGTGTAATGTAATTAGAGCGATTTGGCAAGTTCAACAAGCTCTCCTACTTTGTACAGCACGTCAGTTTGTCGAGAGGAAACACGCGAGAAAAGGTACTAAGGATGATCATCGTCTACGCATCAATAATCATAAGATGTTCAATGATAGCCAAGTTGTCACTGCATTCAGCCAAGCGAGTGAGACGAATAGCATAGAAGAAGTCACGTCAAGGCCAGAGGGAACTCAAAAATATGCAAAAAAAGAAAATATCTGGTTCACTATCTCGTGGCTAACTTTTACGAATTCGTGGCAAAAAATCATGAAAATGAAGATCTACGATCGGCGCGTACATACTATTAAAGAGATGTGTTGCAAAAAATTTTACGAATCCTTTTAGGTCGCTTTTAAAATATTTAGAGTATACAGTGTTCACTGACGATACACATAGTTACCGCTCTGTCGCCTCCAAATCCCATCGATTATTTGTATCCGATCACTTGGCGCAATGGATTTAATATTGGTTCAGTCAAATCATTTGTAGAAATGGATGCAGCTTGCTAACAGCCTCTCATTATTCGGGCTTAGACAGAGAAGCTTCGGGTTTACACCAACAAATTTGATGCGTAAAATAGTATAGCTTTAATTCATTGATGCCCTTTCATGCCAAGCGGCTTTAAATCTCTTAGTTATCCAATCGCTATGGGTGGTAAAGTCAATTTTAAGTATATACTTGAGACGACTAAGTAAAATAAGAATATGAAGGTAAAATTACAAATCGGCTGATAAACGGTACGCAATCGATTAATTGACCATATTTGCCGATTACAATCGACCTATCATATGTATCAATCGCAAGTGATGATCACAAGTATCAAGAGGCGGTCCACATCGATTGTCTACAAGAATGACCCGTGGAATATGTTGTGGTACTGCCTATCATTATTAAAGATAGGCTCCTAATTTTGAATGATTGGTTTGCATTAAACAAAGGTCTATTTGCTTTTACAACAACGTGTGGACTTCTCTTCCGGGTTGGATTTCTGGTCAACCGACATCTTGAAAAGTCGCATACTATAATCAAGCTATATCCCTGCATCGTTTGGTAAGGAATTAAGATCTCTCAAGAAAAACCCCTTGACTGTGATCGAACGCATCAAAACCGTAAAAGACAAATTACAAGACTGCGAGATAGCTCAAGTGATCAGAAGTTCAAGCGGGTTAAATATCTACATATTGGACAAGGCGATCTCTTCGAGATACCGAGCAGCTTACAGGCATGATCGGGGTCGTATGAACCCTTCCATGAAATCCCGCTCAACCCCATCACGATCACGGTCAAGTTTTCTCTCAACATGAGTTCCTCTGGAACTGTGCAGCCCGCTTTACCGACGAGTACATAAGGTGGGGAAGGAAGAGTGTATATACATGGAATCCAAGTACAACCTTTGACAGTCGACTTTGTGGCGCCAGTGGAGAGTCGTGGTAACAAGAAACTTGCGATCACCACTCCAATAGAAACTTACCTTTTATGCGGTTTCATTATATCTGCAGAGTGACTGAATGAACGATATGACGAGATGAAATGTTGCGTAGTATTAAACCATTATGTGAGTACAATAAGAGTGGATCGATTGCAATGACTAATGAGCGACGAAAAAAACAGTTACGATTACAGCTTGTGCACGCTTTCGGTCAAAGCGTTCGATTCACTTACGCTTTTATATGATGTGTGAAGGGGCACCACCATGCTTCCATTGGGGGCAGAGCCACTTATAACGCTGACGTTAATGTCGATTAATGATCTTATACTTTGAGTACAGGGTGAGGTGCAGGGAAGCAAAGTGGACTTAATGGGGTAGCTTAGTCGAATGGAATCGGGGGTTGAAGTTTACGTAACGTATTGACACGGTTTGTTGCCGATGACCCGAATTATTAGTAAAACATATATCTACCAATCACAGTCCGTCATGTAAGGCTCACTATGCTATGATTGGCTGTCACGTAGATTACCCAATTTTTTTGCCGAGACGTGTCGTGTCAGACAGTATATCTGAGACGTGGAGTGCAGTAAATGGGAAGGGAGAAAAAGAAGACCATCATGTCGTCTGCGGGGCGAAAGAACTACTCAGAAGAAGCCCTGAAAGCCGATTTGCGTGCGTATGCCGCGGGCGCAAAGATCAGCCGCGTTTGTAACGAACATCATGGTGTTCCTGAGTGAACGATTCGGCATCGAGCCGACGTTCCTAAAAAAAATGGCGTGGCGCTACGAAAGCCTGGGCCGTCACCAATACCGGGACAAAAAATTGGAGAATGTTAGTTGTGATTGGGTGGTTGGAATGTAGAAGGATGGCCTGCCAGTTAATCGTGAGTCAGTGCTGGCGAAGGCATACGACATATACCTGGCCAAGTACGGTGTGACGCGGAGCACCGGCTTCCTTACGATACGATAATTATAATTCTTTCCCAAGCGTCATACGGATTTTTCGCTACGCGGCAGTAAAGTTATTGAGCGTGCTCGGATCGGAGTAAGCATTGAGGGTCTACGGGAGTTCTTCAACAAGTACGTGAAGCACATCATCGAGAGCAATGCAAGCCTGGATCGATTGTTCAACATGGATGAGATGGAATTCTCCCAGAGAAAAAGGCAGGCGACGGCGATGGTGGTCAAGGGTTCACAGAACGGGTGGAGAAGGTCTGCACATTGCAACTTCCACCTCACGATCGTCGCGTGCGCGTCAGCGGCGTGCTTTGCATGCCCACCGCTGTGCATTTTTCCGGGTGAGCGTGTCGCACGCCACGTGTTGGACGATTGCAACGTCTCAAGCGCCGCTTTCACGACCGCTCCTCGGGAATTAATGAACAGTGCGGTATTTGTACGATGGCTTTGCCACTTTTCGGACGCCGTGCCCAGTGCTGCTCAGCGACCGCTGATCCTGGTACATGACGGCTGCAGCAGTCACTACAACGGCGAAATTGTTCGCGAGGAGGTGCAGCTCAAGATCATCCTCGTTCTCCTACCAGCGAACTCTACCCACCTCATGCAACCGCTAGACGTGGCTTTATTCTATCCTTTATAAGTCCACCATCGATGTCGTGATGCGCGAGTACAACCTCAATGGGGGCGAAGGCTACATCTCGCGCAAAACAGCCATTCGCTTGGTAAGCACCGCGTGGACCAAGGCCATCGTGGACAATCCTGCCAATGCGGTCTCTGGCTTTAGAGCGTGCGGACTCTGGCCAGTATCACTGACGCAGCAGCAGCGTCGGCTCAAGCTATTTCAAGATTGGCGGATGCGTCAAGGACGTCGAGTTGCCCTCCTGGCTCAAGTTAGAGAAGTCGTGCAGACCGAGATTCTGGTGCTTCTTGCGTCCTCTACTCATGCTCGTAAGCGGTGCAATACTATCTACGTAAATCGTCGACTCTTCGCGCGTTGGGACTTTTAAAAAAAAGTATAGCAATAACATTCGGATTAAAACTGCAGTTTTATATGGTAATTTTCGGCTGTAGGCTGGGTAATGCCAATTATTTGTGGTATTTTCGTGGTATTTTTGCTGGGCGAACTGTCGACTAGTTTTGGGCGCATAGTTTATTTACATCTCCAATTTATCGATTTATTCTTGGTCTCTACTTCATATTTGAATCGTCGAGTTTAGCGCTAATGTGGTGGAGTCACTAATCAAATTTTGTACGAGGATCGGTGGCTACACATTTGGGACGCCACTTACTGGTGGAAAAAGAGGCCATGGGACTTGGCGATCCAATAAGGAAACGGGATCGGCGATCCGATCCAACTGTCGTCAGACTGATGGGTATGGAACGATCTGAGACGGGGTGATCTGGGACAAGACGACAGTTAGGACGATTTCCATGGAGCGATCTGGGACAAGGATCTGAGATCAGGCGATGTGATGTGACTCTGTGACGAAGGTGTAACATCCTGCAGACCGGTGACACTCTCTACGGGTCTCCCAAAGGGAGTACTGATTTAGGTTAATTATGGACCGATCTGGAAGTGGGGATGTTTGTGGGGGTCCGTGGGACCGTTGTAAGAATTGTGGATGGTCCCATTGTGCGGATAAACCGTTGAGTATAGTATCGAAGCAATCACAATGAACGGAAAAGGCATATAGGGCCGGATCGCACTGTGTCGATCCTCAACGATCTCGAATTGGACATCAGATCGGTCATGTTCCCTGCTGGTTATGGATATATCGATGATGGAGCTATTGTATGATGATGTACATGCTTGTTGGAGATCCATGAGTGATGTCCCAAAAGTTCAGACCGAAAGAGCCAGTGGAAGCCGGTCGAATTGACGTCGCAAAATGGATTTAGACACGTTCCACATCTTGGATACTATATTGGACTTTTCGGTACCAAAATTGGGTATTTGGTACCATATTTGGAATTGGGTCTCTTTTGGTGTCTAGGTACGATATCGGGAGTATTGGCGCTATCTCTGGAGTACAGGTCACGAAATTTCGACACGTGTTTAAGGTGGCGGTCAAGCTTAAAGGTGATATCGACTTGGACAGTGACCTACGGTTGGGAATAGGCTTAATGATAGGTTGGATATTAATTTGGTTGGTTAATAAAAAGACTTGAACTCTACTTCTTCTGCTCACGACGCACGTTCTCCTCCCCTCTTCTCCGGGCAAGATTGATTTGGCTTCCCCGGCGGGTCAAGGCACGCGTGTTACAGGGACACAGAAGACCGATCTTGGATTGTTGGCCAAGATCGAGAAGAGCGATCTAGGGATATCTGGCCCGGATCGATCAAGTACTCACACTCAACTCAACTGCTAGGGTAGCAGCCACACAACAAAGGAAAAGGAAAAGGATTTTGTACACAAGATCGCGAGACGGCTCAAGTGGTCAGGAGATCTGGACAAGGCGTTCAAGACAAGACCGAGCGAGATCGAAGCGATCTACTGGACATATCGGCGTGTTTCATTTTGGCGAAACCAAGAACCGATCTGTCCATATTGCGCACTTCCGGCAAGATCGGCCGATCCCGAGACCAGATCGGACCGATCCCAACGCAAGATCGACGCAAGACTACTATTTGCTGAGTGAAGATTTCCGCACAGCGAAGACCCCGATCCCAAAGACTAATCGAGATCGGTGTGATTCAAGATCGAGATCGCGACATCTCCAAATAGAGATCGCCGCGACTCAAGATCAGGATCGCAAAACCCCGTTCGTGGTGTGAAGATTTCCGCACCGGAAGCGAGCGCACAACCCCAAACCCTCAGCGAGATCGACATCTCCCAAGGCCATTACGAAGAGCTCAAGACAGCCCAACCGACGGGTACACAAGGTGAGAACAAGGTTATACAGCAAGGCACGGATCGGAGTACCCCCTCCGTGAGTCGGCAAGTCTGGGCAAGTGGAAGATCGACACTCACTAAACTAATTTTGTGAGATCGACTTCACCACAATGGTGCGCGTGCCCGGATATTCTGAGGCCTCTGGATTTTACCGTGAGCCCACTGGCGAAGATGTCAAGATCATGCAAGAACCTGGGATTGGAGTGTCTGCGACAGAGGGATCGACGCAGACACGCAGAAGCACAAGATCCTCGGATCATCAGATTTTGGGAGGGGCTCTGATGAAAAGAAAATGGAAGAGGAAGATCGAGAGGTCGATCTGGAAGACAAACCTCAAATAACTCCTAGGACCCTTTCGGGGGCCACCGCAGATCGCTCTACAAAGAGCGATCTGATGGATGAAAATCCAATGGTGAAAACCAAAACGGCGAAAGCCAAACTCGATAACCTCGTCAGCAGGTCACCTGACATTAATACGAGGAAGACGTTGGCCGGATCGGCACGAAAAATGAAGAAAGTGTCGGGATCGAATACCCTCGTCAGCAGGTCACCAAACAGTAACACGAGAAAGACGGCCAAGAACCCCGCCGGATCGGCACGAAAGAAGAAGAAAGTGCTAGGATCGAAAGACGAAGATCATCGAATCGAAAAATCAGTAGGATCGGAGATCGTAGTCAAAGAAGAACATGATCTTGAGATGGCCCAGATCGCGGTGTCGAAGATGGAGTCGGTGACTCAAATGTGGGAGCGTGCGAAATGGCAGTGCTATTATAGCCAATTCAATACACTGCTCAAGACAGACCCAGTGTTCAAGATATTGCGGCCCAAGTAGATCGACCCTCTGGGTAAGCCGATCTCTATCCCGCCGCCCGTGACTAGAAAACTCGGCGCGATTGATTTGATTTTGCAGATGTTGAATTACACGGGCTTCTGCCCTAATGCTTTCGATTTAGACGAATTGATGAGATGCAGCTTGGAATAGTTGAAGAACGCAGTAAGCGAGTTCGTGGAGGTCATGATACTTCTGGTGGTCAAGACCACCACTCCTAGAGACGGAATCGTCATTCCCTCGGGATCACCTCAATAAAACCCCTCAGGATCTACTTATTACGCCTCATCTGATTCCGAGATTGAGTCAGATGGGTCCATCAGCGTTCGTCGGATGTCTCTGGGACCATTGGGAGGATCGTTTCTAAATGACAGGATCGGCAAGGTCAGGATTGAAGCCTTTGAAGAGCAAGCCAAGATCGACATACAACCAAGGTCGTCCGTGATCTCATGTCTGGAAGATTTTTCAGGAAAAGGTCGAGACGAAGATTGGACTTTGAGCTGATTGACAAGGTCATGATGTCTTTTCTTCGAGAACAAATACCTGATAACGAAAAATGTTTGGAGTTTGGTGATTTGCTCACCGCTCCAGCCCGATATTGGTATCTTCAACTGAACGAATCGATACAATTTGATTTAAAGGCGCTGGTGGAAGAATTCTTGTTCGAATATTGTGGACACGAAGAATCGGTCGATCAACAATACTACCTTTCACGAAAACAACCGGATGAGAATCCAATTCGCTTCTCAGGACAACGTTCACCGTATAAATCGAAGGTGAAAAAGATAAAAGCTACTGGTCAACCCATCGAGATCCCTGTTGAAGAATCTACGGAAGTGAAGATCGGTATTAGTCTAGCGTTCTCAAGGTTGTGGATCGCACGAGGACTGGATTGGGTGCCAACAGTAAAATAAGGCCCTGGCAAGCTATTATATCTGCAGGTGACGAATATTGGTGATCAGAAGATCGTGATACCACCACATACCACACTCGGTATGTGGATGAAAGGCGAGACAACACCAAGATCTCAAGGATACGTGTTGTATGGATCTGGCCGATATAAGGAGTGTCAAACCTTAGCGTATGAAAATACTACAGATGAACAATGGAAGTGGCCCGATAATGAATGGATCGAATCTCCAGCGAATCCAGCTAACTATTTTAAATCGATAGAGTTAACGACACGATCAAAAGATGATCCGGTGGAAACGGCGAGGGAAGCGGCAGTAATTACTCATCGGATTTCTAAAGCCAAAACGGGAGGAAAAAGTATCAAATATGCGTCAGGAGAAGAGAATGCCGTCGTCGATATACTCTCACATGATGAATCGTTTCAGAGTTCTGCTGATCGGGATCGCGAAGTGGATCTACAGTATTTGACGGAACGAGATCGAAGAGTGGTTCATCCTTCACACGATAGATCGGTTCAACGTCATATTGATCAAGATCGAGAAAGTGATCGCTCCTATGCAATAAATAGAGATTATGTAGATGACCCACAGCATTGGACATGTCAAGATCGCGATGATGATATACAGTATTCGACAGATCGAGACTGCAGAATGAATTCGCCATATTACTATAAATCGTTTACGCTTTCTTTTGATAAAGATCGAGAAAGAGGTCAAGGAATTTCTACGGATCAAGATCCCGAAGGTGACTCGCAGTTTTGGATCTGTCAAGATCGCAAAGTGATTTCGCATTTACCTGATGGATCGTTTGGGCTTTCTGTCGATCAAGATCGAGAAAGTCTTCAAACGTATGGTATGGATCAAGATCTCGAAGCTGATCTGGACAGGGGACGTGGATTTCTCTGCGGAGATCACTCTACAAGTGGAGATCGATATGGCGAAAACGACCTGCATTCACATGATGGATCGTTTGAGTTTTCCGTCGATCGAAATCGAGAAGATAGAGAAGATCGCGAAGGTGAACCACCGTGTTCGACTTGTCAAGATCGCAGATTGATTTCACATTTACCCGATGGATCGTTTGAGCTTTCTATCGATCAAGATCGAGAAAGTCATCAAACGTGTGGTATGGATCAAGATCTCGAAGCTGATCTGGACAGGGGACGTGGATTTCTCTGCGGCGATCACTCTACAAGTGGAGATGAATATGGCAAAAACGACCTGCATTCACACGATGGATCGTTTGAGTTTTCCGTCAATCAAGATCGAGTTAGTGGTCAAAGCTATATTACGAATCAAGATCACGTGGATCAGGGTCGCGAAGGTGCTGAAGACGAGTGTAATGGTCTGTTATTATATCTCAATTATATAGC